GAAGCCCTTTTCTTTTGTTTGATTTGACAAAGGTCAGTCTGGCAGCCATCAGAAGATTCTGTATTAAAAGTGCAACTAGATGAGACAGCAGAAGATCTGTGATCAAAACTCCTACATTTTAAAAAATAAATAAAAACAGCTGCATGTAGCCCAAATTGTACACATATGTTTTCTATCACAGGTGCTTTATATTAGGGAAACAACAAATGGAAAGAGGAGGATTAACCTTAGGTGAACCAAGGACTGTGAACCTTTTGTAAACCAACATTTCCACACCTCTCATGAAATACCCTTCCCATTTTACCATATAACATTTACAACCTACAGTTTCTGCTTTTAGTAAAAGATAATAGTCTTCGAAAAACACTTTATCCCCCCTTCAGGATTTATGTAATATATTTCAAATTTAGTTAGATTTCTAATAATGGTGCGTGGTTGTGTTTATGTGTGTTGTTTGGAACAGAAAGGTTCTTATTTGGGAAAGAAATAGCATACTATTTGGGATAGAAATAGCAACTAAGCAGCACTTTTTATTTTACCTAAACTGTGTCCAGAGTCAAGGAGGAATACATAAATGCAGTAAATATTCAAGACAGTTTGAAACAAGCATGTAGGTTTAAGAAAGTATCCCAGAGACAACCGAAACTCTAAAATGAGGATGGCTGCTGAGTCTTTGCTGGAAGAGTACTCCACAGCATGTGATCGGTGACACAAAATGGGTTTCTGTGACATGAAGCAGCTTTCCTCCAGATGATCCTAGACCTCCTAGGCTCCTTTCAGAATACTAGAGCACCTAAGAGGAGCAATGTAGTATGGCATATTTCTAAAAAGATGTCAGAGAACAACAGTGGTGAACGACAGGCCTTTCAGTACCCTGGACAGAGCACTGGGAGCTAGCAACTTCCTCCAACAACCAGGCTCTGGTCTTTTCTTAAACAGAGGAGAACCTTCAGCAGGCAATCATATGGCCTGGAAATCTCCTCTGTTGTCCACTGGGCACATTGTCTGCAGCGACAAGGTCTTGAGGGTAAAGATGTAGCATGATGGGGAGAAATAGGGGGTGAAGAAACAAGTCCCCTGAGACTTGCAGTCTCTGGAAATGTTGGCTGAGGATTTCTAGTTCAGGGTCTTTAGCTTTGAGATACTTGATTGTTAGACACAGGCACGGAGCATGAGGCCAGATGCACAACTAGCTCTCCTGGCTCACTTGACCTTTTAATCCTCTGTGTTGGGATCCAGGCTACTAGAGTAGGAATCATGGCACAAGGCCCCTGGTTCTCCACTATTAAATACGAAATGCTGGACCAGGTGGGCATTTGGCCCCATCCAACAGGACTATTATGTCAAGGCTTAAAATTAACCACTGTTCCTTTAATACAAAAGGAACTGAGTCAGCATGAGTCAGCGGGCTACAATGAATCGGCAAATCCTGCATGACTCATGCAATCTTTCACCTACATATGCCTGTATATATAGAGTGGCCATTGATTGTGTGTGGTGGGTTGGTCGGATGGTAGAAAGCTGGTTGCGTTTGATATGTATAAAAGCTGTCGGTCGTAATTGGAGAAGAAGATTATTTTTAGAATAAAAGCAGCATTCTGCAAGGCACTCTTTCTCAAGGACTCTTTGTGCCGACTAGGGTCCGAGGACCAGGCCAAGGAGGCAAAGAAGGTCAGAGCCTTTTCCCTTCTTTTCTTCTTCAGCCAAAAAGAAGCACTGATGATACCAAAGTTAATTCCTTTAGTTAGTTAAGGAAACGGATGACGTCTACCCCACTGAGAATGCTGTTCAACTAACTCTTCACATGAATAGAATGCCTTCCACTTGCGCAATGGGACTTCTCTTCTTGCACATATCCCATGGTGTCCCCAAATTTTCTCAGGGGGGGTTGGAAGAACCCCCAGAACAAATTTAGAAAGTCTGAGGGAAGGAGGGGGGAGTCTCACTGCCACAAATGGAAGCCATGCTACTCCCCCAATGACTTACTTAACGCAAAGCTGCATACAACCCTGAAACTCTATGCCTTTAATCCAAAAAGTGTTAATTGTGTCTTTTATTTATAATGAATAAAATGCCATGCAAGACAGATTTTTTTTTTTGTACTAACTTGTGCAGTACAATCGGTGTGTGTGTGTATGTTTGTTTGTGTGTGTATGTGTATGTATTCAAAAATAAAGCCAACAATATAACATCACAGAGTGAATGAACAGGAGGTGCGTGAGGCTCCCTCATTTAGCAGCAGGCATACAGTGAACAGGCATATTTGTACATTGGAGGGGAAAGGATTTTAAACATTGCGTGGGAGCTCTGCAAGACAAATCTTATTAGCAAGCCGGTGGGATGCAAACAGAAAGTCTCTACCCTCTTGAAATAAAATAGCGCATTTAGCATCATCATTTTATTTGCATTGGTTTTTTTTTGCAGCGCCAATCAGAAACTTTTAAAATGAAAGCCGGGGGGGGGGGGGGGGCACCAAGGCAGGCATTGCCATTCTGACCTCCTATAGCCGAATGCGAATGTTCCTGTTGTCGTCTTGCCAACGCCTCATACGCCTCTCAACAATATATTAGTGAAGTCAGTTCTATGGCATTCAGATTTTAATTGCATGGATACAACAATCTGGAGCACGTCTTAAAAGGCAAAAGATTTGCACAATTACATTCGGATGCAAAATACTGTTTTGCCTTATTATGAGAAAATGAAATAATTGGCGAGAGGAAAAGATTGAGGCGCTGCAATGGGTGGGTGAGATGAAAATGTGCTTCATTGTGGGGGGGGGAAGGAAACCAGGTTTATCTCATTTAAGCAATTCCCAATTTGACAGAGACTCGGGAAACCCGCAAAATACATGGAGGCGGTGGGGGAGGCCCGCAGAAGAGAAAGATCGTGTGGCTGACTGATGTGCTAGGTATTTGGTCCTTTAAGGTAGCGCTCGAAAGCCAGCCCCTCCCATTAAAAAAAATATTGCTTTCCGAAGCAATCAAGAATAACTCCTGGAAGAGCCAAACCAGACTCTATCTTGTCCTTGAGGATATTAGCTGAGAAACGATTTTTTGCAAGCCATGCTGTAAGGCGAACATTGATCCTTCCAGCAGCAGCTTCCAAATCTTTGGGTGGGGGTGGACCTTGGCTCACCTACCACAAGCATGACAGTCTTTGCAACACTTTACATTCAGGCTTTTTATGTGCATGTATGCACACACACACACACACACACACACACGCACAACCCTCACATGATAGGGGAACATAGGGCATGCCTCCTTTATATGGGTTTCCAGTTTAATATTGAGCACATTGTTCTCAGTCTTGTCACTGCCACATTCTAATTGGAGCTAAATCAAGCCAGCATTTTTGGCAAGTGTGTCACATGTCAAGTCCAAAGTATTAGATATACAATGCCCAATGCATGCTATAAAACACATATTTATTTACGTGCATGGATTTATATCCCACACATTCCTCCAGCCTAAGTTGAAATCCCCAGGTTAGCCAACAAAGTAGTAAGATACAACGAAGGCATACTATAAATTGAAAGTAATACAAAAAGGCATGCAAACGAACACAACCAGCTAAAAGAGCAACTGTCAAATCAGATAGACATTTCTTTTTTAAAGGGGAGTGGTTCTTATTCTTCAATTAAGCATTCTTCAGTTTTGTTAACCATAAGTGGCTGGTGCTTAAATTATAGTAACAAGGGCATTCTGAAGGAAAAGAGCCACCACTAAAAAGGACCTGCCCCTCACTTTCTGCTGTGGCCACTGGGGAGAAAAAACTTCTGATGGATTGATAAAGCACTTCTACATCCTTTCAAGATGGTAACTGCCCCTACAGATGGTTGGGCACTAAGATATAACCAGGAGTTCAGAAACAAATATAAGAAAAGGCATATACTTTCTTCCATAGGATCCTCTTCATTTCAGGTAGAAAGCCATGCCGACTTTACAACTGTGTTAGTCAAGCAATGATCAGGGACACCATTAGTCCCACCTTGCTTCAGGTCACATGTGATTATTCCTTGACATTTATGGTTATTAGGATGTAAAAACAAATATAAAAAGTAATAACCAATGCTCTTAAATGCAATTCTTTACTGCAATTTGAAATTGATACCACCAACCCTGAGACTCAAAATGGTGGTATCGGTATGCCTAGCAAGCATCTCCCTTATCATACATGTCTGCTCAGTACCATCAACTTCAATGGAATGGGGTATATGCAAGAACAGTGTGGTCCATATAGGCTCTTGCAAACTGAGTTCTCATCTGAATCATCCTGTGCACTGTCCCTTTAAGTTTATAGCCTTATATAGCCTTTTTATCCTCACAACAACCAAGCAATTTTAGCTCAATCTGAGTGAGGGTGGAAAGCATCACCCTCACTCTTAATTGACTTGTGCCATTGTCATTTAAACAAATCTCATTGGTATAGTGTATCACCACACTGTCTGCACAAACCATGACTGGTTAGGATTTCAATTCTCAAAAGAAGACCCTGTTTTATTTTTATACGAAATGGCACCAGACCAACAGCTGAGACTGACCTAACAGCAGCAAACAGTCACTATAAAATTTTCCCAATAAACACTGGGAATGGATATTTTAGAGCCCACGAACATTTCCCTTCACACCGAAAGGACAGCTGTGCTGTCTATGCTCTGTGTGATGATACAAGACACAGATAAGAAAGGAAAAGAAATATGATTTTAATTGGACAAGGAATTTCAAGGTCCTTTTACTGTCTGCTCAAAAGAAGAGCTATTTTTGCAAATCCTCATGTGACTTCCATAAAGTTTATAGCCTGCAAGGGGACACATTTACAAGATACGGACATGTTATGCCTCTGTCAGTTTCGGGCTCAGGATTTATGCTGGATAAATCAATCTTGATGTTGTGGATACATTGGACGGCGATACCAGTTCTGACAAACTGTGCTGTCTATCCAGCAAGCAATTCAGACCCAATTCCAGAAGCTCTAGGCCATAAACGAGTGTTAAGGGAGCTGATAGCTCAGTTGGTTTTTGAGTATGGGGCTAATAACACCAAGGTCGTAAGTTGGATCCCCATGTGGGACAGTTGCATATTCCTGCATTGCAGGGGGTTGGACTAGATGATCCTCAGGGCCCCTTCCAACTCTACAGTTCTGTGATTCTATGGGGGAAACATCCAGACAGCTCTAACTGTGGGAATGGCACGTAACTACTTTGACCCAATCCCTCTGAAGAATGCTTGAACCTGGGCTGGACCAGTTGACTAATAGACTAGACGGCAATTGTACTAGGGGGCAACTGAAAAGGTGGTAATTTCTAAACACACTTCCCCATTTTGCTATTCTTTTATATGCACAGAAAGGGGGCAATAATGATAAGATGGGATGTTGCAGGAATGCACATTGCTTCCATGCATTCTATTGCAGTCACATGTGCATCTAGAGAAAGAGCCAGTGTGGTATAGTGGTTAAAATGCTGGACTAGGACCTGGAGGACCAGGGTTCAAATCCCTATATGGCCATGAGGTCCACTGGCTGACCTTGGGCCAGTCACTGCTTCTCGGCCTAACCTACCTCACAGGGTTGTTGTGGGGGTTAAATGAGGAGGGGGGAATCATGTATGCCGCCTTGAGCTCCTTGGATAAAAAGGAGGGATACAAAGAAGGGATCTGAGATTATCCCTCACTCTGCAGCAACCCATTTTCACATGTTTCAGAGAAGGCATGTGCACCACATACTGTCTCAAGCTGCCTGAATGCTAAGTCAACTGTCCTGAATTCTAGCTAGGCTAGGCCCAGAGAATTCAACATGATCTAGCAGGTTTGCGCATGGTCCTAGAAATCTGTTTGCTCTATTAAACGTCTGTGCTAAAGGCTGGAAGGGAGGGTTGGAAAACAAGATTAATGTCCTAAATTGAGCTAGAAGTAATATTGCCGTGTTGGATCTGATTATTGTACTTGGTCTATTGAACTCTATTATCAATGTTAATATTGCACTGGGATTGGATGAGGTGGGAGGGAGAGGATCTTAGTTCCACTGAAAACCTTCCTGGGGCCACTAGGGGCGCATCAGAAAATGGCTGACAATAACATCTCTCCGACCCACACGAGGTAATTTGGAGGCTGTGATGGGAGTAATAGCCTCCCTACCCCCCCAGGATTGTGGGGGGGATTGCCCTTGCCTGCTGTGCCCTATACCACCCCCGAATTTGAGGGGATGGGGGCACTAGGCAGAATGCCCTTCTGTGGATATCGGCGCTCCTGGACGCTGCCTCTGATCCGCGCCTCTAGCTGCAAGAACTTCAAAAGAAATGATTAGGATGAAGCGAATGCACATATTTCAAGGAAGGGGGGGAGTAAAGACTGCTAACAGAAGAGATCTCTGATAAACGAGACGAGTCGGAAGAACAAGAATTAACCAGATGAAGACACACCAAGACTCGGTATGGCAAAAGGACTGGATGGGGGGAGGGGAAAAAACTTTCCTTTCTTTCCTCTATGTGATTAAACAAGAATCCCCCCCCCACAAGTCAGAAATGTCATTTGAAGGACTTAAGCTGTGGATTTATGTCTGTGTGGAGATAAACTTTCTAACCAAAGCATGCTTTAAGAAGAGCGTGGAATGTATAAGGGCTTTGGAATGACACAGTTAAAAATACCGTCGCCATATTGGGAAGTTCTGTCGGAGGACTTAAGTCTGGGAGGAGAAATAGAGAAATAGAGCTGTTTTTATATTGTGGGTGAAACTTCTCAGAGGGACTTAAGAACGACAGTTCTGTGATTAATGATGGAAAGAGCGATGTTATCTATGAATGTGATGACATATGGAAACCATCTCGATTTGAGGATTGGATGAGCGGAAAATTCACACAGGATTATTATTGGTGTTTATCGGCTTAAGGAGATTATCAGAAGAGATCATAAAGAAAAAAGAGAAAATATACGAACAAGATGAGATGCGGAAACAGCAAGATAAGACTGGATAGAATTATAAACTTTGTTTGGACTGATTTGGACATTAACGCAGTAGCAAGAAGATGATCAGAATCCCCCTTCGGATCTTGAAATATGGGTCCCCTCAACAAAATTTAAAATTCGGCTTTGTAATTCGGAATTTATGTGGTGTGATTTGATTTGATTGGTCAGTTAATAAAAATTATTAAAAAAGAAAAAATAAAACCTTCCTGATAAAACTGTGCAAAACACACTCAGCTCCAAACACCCTTGAAGCCCTTCCTGGAGACTTCAGAGGGTGTCCGAAATCAACAACTAATTATTGGTTGTGAAAGTTTGTGATAAAGCTGCCCGCCCCATCTTAATACGGATCCAGTTTTGAAATGGGATGGGACTAGCTGCTCCTTTAATCCATGCAACAACCTTGTGAGGTAGGTTAGGCTGAGAAGCACTGCAAGGTCAGCCAGTGAGCTTCATGGCCGAGTGGGGATTTGAACCCTGGTCTCCCAGGTCATAGTCTGGCACTCTAACCACTGCACTACACTGGCTTCTGGGGTGCATTCATCAGTCCACAAGGAAAGAAGTAGCATTTGCTCTGCTTTTCTTGGCTGTGTAAGTTGGCTTTAGCAGATGTACCATATTTTTCGCTCTATAAGACGCACCAGACCATAAGACGCACCTAGTTTTTGGAAGAGGAAAACAAGAAAAAAATATTCTGAATCTCAGAAGCCAGAACAGCAAGAGGGATCACTGCGCAGCGAAAGCAACGATCCCTCTTGCTGTTCTGGCTTCTGGGATAGCTACGCAGCCTGCATTCGCTCCATAAGACGCACACACATTTCCCCTTACTTTTTAGGAGGGAAAAAGTGAGTCTTATAGAGCAAAAAATACGGTATATAAGATTGCTCAACATTACAATGGAGAGGAGCCTTGCTTGAAGAGAAGGTGGGGAGCTTCTCAACACCCTTTCCATCAGATCATTAGCCTGGTCGACACATGCGTTAGAATGTGACACAGTCCTAATGTGGTAGATTGATTGTACCATCTCAAGAAGCAAATGAAATATCATATTTTGTGATGCTTCTTCATCTGCAGGCAGAAACTTAGCATAACACAGTTTAGCTCTTTGCCTGCAGGGTGTTCTCACAGAAGGGACCATATACAAATGCACTCTCCCCCGTAGGCTGAAGAACTACAGGCTTCTCTTTTAGTATTTTAACAGCTCAATCTGTTGCACGGGTGTAGAAAGGATTTTCATCCATGGTACAGAGGGTACGTTTTAATTTCAAGGCAGTGGCTCCGCAGACTCCCTCTTTAGATCTTGTTAGATATCATGACAAAGTGCACCAAGCGGCTTGAGTGGAAAAATAGAATGTCTTAAGCACAAGAACCCTTAGAACACCTCTTGCATCTGTCAACGTTGCGCTGCAATCAATAATGCTGCTATGACTGCTGATGCCAGTTCCTAAAGAGAAACAGCAGACATCTCCTAAGCTCATATCAGCTAGATATAATGGGATATCGAAATTAACGTTAGCTCAGTCAAGCATGACAGCTCAGTGTAATGAGTAAGTGTCAGCTACTTTGAAAGTTTACATCTTTTTTAATTACCATCATTACCCAATTGACTGCGTTTCTTCTACTAATATGCCTATGGGTGTCTACTGAGGAGCAGTAAAATGAAACAAGCAGCTGTGTCAGCAAACCTTGGTATCACCTACATTTAGCTGTATGTTAACAGAACCACTTTCATGATTATTTGTACTGAACTGCTAGGATCCCCAGTCATCTGAATCTCTCGGTTTTATCTATGTATGGAGTTTCAAATATGCTGCCAATCCAATGTCAGTAAACTTACACTTAGCAGTGAAAAGTCAAACTGTGAGGATAGAAGCTTTTGCCAGCGCTTTTCGAAACTTGCTAGTCTTCTAGGCTCGCCTTTCCTGGATTCAAATAATGTCTACCACTGGATCTCTTGCATGTTACATAGGTAGAGATGAAAGGGTTAAAACCTAGGTCTGTTCTGTGTTAGTTTTTCATGCACTTAATCACAAGTTTGTCCCACCCTGTTCCCAGTGGATTTTGTGAAACATGCAGGGAATGTTCGCATTTAAATTGAAGTATTTCACCCTAAAAATGCATTTTGTATGCATTTTTCTCTAAGCCATGAACTTTGAATGCATTTTCACTGTAAAATATACACTTCTGCACACTTTTCTTCGACTGAAACTGTGTCAGAATTTCACAGAAGTGCACAATCAGTTGTGTTCAAATACATGTAAACATTTGGGAAACACAAATTAGTCTGTTCATGTTAAAAGGTGGAGCCAACAAAATTGCCCTCCATTCCTAGTTATAAGGGTGCACAGTTGGTTCATGTGGGGCACCCGTGATGTTCTCAGAATATGCCCTAGAACATGACTGACATTTTTTCTGGATCCCAGTGTTTGCCGGTGGATAAAATGCTTTTCAAGGAATATTGTCTGCCATTGCTGAGATTTTCATTGTTGAATTGCTGACAGGCTTGCAAGTGTTCCTGGAACAGTTTGAAAACCACTAGGATATGCAGGTGAAAGAATTTGTTGATATGCTTACAATGTGACCACCATATATTTTACATTTCTGATATGACACACATTTTGTGACCATTTGTGGTGCTCTAATGGAGGAGCCATTCATGTTGTCTGACTACTGGAGTGAGGCTGGGAAGGAATTCTCCAACACCACTATCAAGAACAGCTGGTGATCTGGATGACTGTATTCGCTTTTGAACCATTTGATTTAGTCAGCGCTTTTTTTCTAAAAAAAAAAAATGTTTAGGGGTACTCTCATTTTGACTCAAGAAAATCACCATTTTATAGTTCAGATCAGGGAAAATAAATGCAGTAAATGGACAAAAGTACACAGATTCACAAAATGTTTAGGGGTATGCGTACCCCTGCATCCCCCAAGAAAAAAAGCACTGGATTTAGTCATCTAGGGCTACTGAACTGAAGACATCTTTCAGCAATGTGCCATACTATAATCAGAATTGCATGGCTGAGTGAAGGAGATGTGAGGGGATTGGTGGGGGTGGGGGAACGGTGTCTCCCTCCTTTGTAGTTATATTAACTATTACTGAGAAATATGAGCAAGCATTTCCCCACAAAAATTGCACAGCCTGTTAACTAAACACACAGTGACTAAACCCTGGTTCAGACCTAGTGGGCGAGTGCTCTTTCCTCCTCTTCTCTACCCTCCATGAGGAGAGGAGATCAAAAGCTTCTGCATTTGGCCTAACCACCGTTTCCTGTGATGTCTGAACTTGGGGAACTGTGGTTTGTTCTAAACGTATTTGGCTAAAAAAAAATCAATATCAAAACATGATCACAAACTGGTTGTTGATTGTGACACACCCAAAGGCTACTATGGCCGGAGAAGCCCATTCCAATTTGCCGCTGTGCTCCTGGCAAATTGAGACATGCTTCCTTTTTTCATTTTACAAGCCGAATGTGACACCAGCAAAAACTTTCTCCTCTGTAAAAGCAAAGAGACCTGCAAATGGCTGGAACTGACCCTTCCGTGGATAT